TTACCACTATTATATCACTTACATAAACACAAATCATACTACTTCTATTCTTCTTCTTTTAACATGAGGATAAGATAATAATATACCTTATTTCTAATCCAATTTCTCATCTCATTTTTCTTACTTTAAACAAATTATCTTCTTTTAAAATAACAACACACCATATTATGAAAAGATAAAATTTGCTTTTGAAAATGATATTCAATTTAATTTAATTATTACCTTAATATAAAACTTATCACTAAAAACTATCTTTTTCTTCTTGTTTCCTCAATCGTTTAATTTCCTATCTCTATACACAATATATGGACACTTTGTGATTGTTCAAAATAAATGTCTATCAATTCTTATATAATGCCTGTTATTGTTTGTCTTTTTTTTTATCTCATTCACTGAATCAGTTCAACCAGTGCACCCACCCTTATCTTCTTTCTTTTTAGATACGTTTTATAGCTATAATGTTCATTGATAAATCATAATGTTTGAGCTTTGTACCCGTGTAACATTAAACTCTAACAACCAACTAATTGTCTCAATGACTCAAATCATATCAAGTATCGCCCAAGACTATTTGACCATCATAAATGACCAATTATTACTTTAGGTTGTCATCACCTTCTTTTAAGAAAGGAATGATAACAACAAACGTTCCATAGAAAAAATTGTCAATAGACTTCATTGTTATTATTCAAACTTCTTACAAATGCTTCTTTGAAAAAGGGTTGGCAATAGTTATAAACCCTTAAAAAAACTTAAAAGAAAAAAAGAAAATCATTTGATGGAAGCAGTTCAATTTGGAGAAAATTTATTTCGTGTTTTTATTAGAGGCCCAACAGGAGCGAACGAAATACCATTCAAAGAGTGTGAACAAAAATACAATGCATTAAAAAGCGATAAACAAAATTTTATTTCACTTCACGTTTTAGTATTACAAAAAAGCCAAGATGTAAGTGTAAGAAAGTTTGCTGTAAATCAATTTTCAACTGAAGTCATGAAGGGAAAAACATCTGTTTATGTAACACTTGACGATGGTTTTAGAAATACATTAAACCAAACACTCATTGGATTAATGAATTCAGAAAATGATTTTGGAGTTTTAAATGGATATGCCAATATTATTGGAAGAGCCTATACTTCAATGCAAGGATTAAAAAAACCATGGAATGACATTCATAGAGCTATTTTTGAATGGATCATGAATGGGGATCCTAATCACCGTATTCGTGCATTTCAGATTTTAACTGAAGATGTTTTATATTCACAATCAAAAGAAGAGTATATTCAACTTATTCAACAATATGTTCAAATCATTCAATACGGTTTACAAAAACATGACATCAGTTGGACAAAAGATACATTTAAATTATTCCAAGTATTAATTCAAACTAGTGATGTTGAAGCAGACATTAATAATCTTTATAAAATATATCCTACATTTGTTGAATATATTCAAGAAGCAATTAATACTAAAGTTAGTGATGATATTGTGAGTGATTTATTAAGATCTATTGATGATTTATTTGAAGAAGAAAATGAATCTGCAATTCAATACATTCCTATAACTGTTCAATTATGTTCTGGTGTTTGTTTACAAATTTCTAATGATGAAGATGTTCAATTAATTGCATTTGATGCTTTATTAACAATGTGTGAAAGATTTACACAAGTATTTAAACAGAACAAAACAATGTTATATGTTATCTACGAAGTGATTGTATTATGGATATCTACAATAAAAATTACACAAGAGTGGTTACAAGGGAAGGATAATGATGAGGATTTAGTATTGTTTAGTAGAGGAGTTGAAGGATTATCGTCCATGGTTAGTTTTTTTGGAACTGCCCAAACAATGAACTTTATTTTTCAACACTATTCATTAGCAAGTGGTAATTGTGAACAAAGACATGTGTTTTTACAATTTGTTTTTCGATCATTTGAAGGATCAAAAAAATCAATTCTAAAACAAAGTACAAATATTTTTAATATTATATTTCCATTTCATTTAGACGAATCACCAAGAAATAGACTTCTTGCAGTTATTATTATTAATAAATTATTTACACTTGATAAAAAGAATAGAAGTAATTTCTTATCTCCATGTATACAAATAATTGCTAAGTTATTGTCAGATCCTGTTCCACGCATTGTATCAAGAGTATGCGATTTTGTTTCAAGTTTATTAGATAACATAGACCCAAGTTTGATGAAGCCATATTTTGGAGATTTATTAAAACGATTATTATCTCTTTTAAATTCAAATCAAAAAACAGTAATTACTGAGTCATTATGTGCAATATCATTTATTGCCCTCAAGATGAAGTTAGATTTTGCTCAATATTATCCCGAAGTACTTCAAGTATTAAAAACATTATTAAACAACATTGGAATGAATCAAGAATATTCTGGAATTAAAGGAAGACTTATTGAATGTTTAAGTGTAATTGCATTAGAATTAAAGGGAGACTATTGTAGTGAATGTGGAAATATTATTTTACAAGAAGTTGATAAGGTGTTAAAACTACCAAACATAACAATTGAAGATTCATTGTTTGGGTTTGTTGAAACATCATTTACTCGTTTGGCAGAGATTTTACAAGAACGTTTTGCTCCATTCCTTCCAACAGTATTACAAATTGTATTAAGTCGTGCTCAAATGAATGTTATTTGTGGACAAGATGATAAAGAAACAGATGATACTAAAAATGTTTATGTTGATCACAAACCATTTTCTGTACATACTGGATTAACTGATGAAAAGAGAAATGCTGTAAATTCAATATGTGATTTTGCAAATGATTTAAAGAGTATATTCTATCCATTTGCTCAACCATGTCTTGAAGTAGTATTAAAATTAGTTCAAGATCCATTTGATGAAGATTTAAGAGCTTTAGCAGCTAAGTGTGTGTTTAGACTATTAAAAGTACTTGATTCAGGAAAAATGAAAGAAATAAAAAATGAGGTTCAAGTCAAACAAGAAATTTTACCAACGATATTAACTTGTATTATTTTTATATCAGACCAATTAAAGAAAGAAAGGTTTGTAGATACTATAACTAAAATACTTAGTTACTTAGATTGTATTATTGATTTTTGTCCAGAAAATAGTATTCCAGAACAAACAATGGATAATGTTGTTCAAATGATAAATACTTTATTTAGTGATGGGTGTAAAAGAATTGTCGATGATGAAAAAGAGTATGAAGAATTAGAAGCTAAAATTCAAAGAGACACTAATGAGGAAGATGGAGCTGAATTAGAAGAAGGAATCAAAGAACAAAAAAGAATAGAATCTAATTTTAGAATGCAATTAAGAATATTTATTTCTACCCTATGTAAAACACAACCAAGATTATCTGTTAACCTGATTAATAAATATATAACTCCTCAGATATGTAATATATTAAATAAACAAAATATTATTCCATTAGAAATGTCATTTTGTGATACTATACTTTGTACAGTTTCAACAGCCGCTAATCATCCAGAAATGATTAAACAACTAAGTGTAATTTTCTTAGAAAGAATTTCTAAAGGAATTTGTGTTGATAACACATTATTATATTTAGCTAAATTGATTGAATATCCAAGTGCAAAAGAATTCATTCCAAGAATAATTCAAATTGTTCAACAAACATTCCAATTAAGAGAACAAAATAAACGTTTGTATGAAATTGGAATTCTTTGTTTTGGAAAATGTATTACACAAGAGCCTTCATTATTTGATCAGGCAGTAGTGTCTAATTGGTTAAATGTACTACCACTTACTCGATTTGATGATGAAATTATTTTTACTATGTTTACTTTAATTGCAAAGAAAGTGGTTATAATCAATACCCATACTATGAAAAGAGTTTTAGATATATTAATCAGAACAATTTCTAATGGATGTATTGACAATATTTCATCAAAGACAAAAGAAATTGCTTCTTTTTATATTCACCAATGGGCAACTACATCAACTGATATTTTTAATCAACTTATTTCTCAATATAGTCCTGAAGAACAGGAGATACTGAAAGAGCTTTGTAATCCAACAAATACATAATTTGATTTCGATTTCTTTTTTGTTGGTTTTGTAAATCTTTTAATACTTTTTTATAAAAGAAATAAATAACAAATAAAGGTCTTATAAAATTAATTGAAATTAAGCCTGAGGGTCTGTCTTTTTAGAAGTAATATCAGCAAGTATCTTTTCTGCACGTTTTTTATAAGGAGAATTGGCATAATCTTTACAACACCTTACACAAGCCAAGTAAGTATCAGCAGAGAAACGGTTGAAGATATATGAATGGAAATCAAAGAGATCCTCTTGATAAGTGGTAAATGCTTTGATTACCCTACGGGCAACAGACTCAGCCTCAGCATATTTTTCAGCAACATACAAACCGTTTGCGTATTCAGTTAAGAACCAAACAACTTCAAGATCATCCAAACGTTCATCAAACTTATTTGGAGAATCATTCTTGTCTGGACTTCTATCAAATAACTTAAATATTTCAAGTCCTTTTTCAACTTTGCCATATCTCATGTAATATTTACATGTTCTGTTAGCAAGGTAACGATCTGACTTATCTAATTGACGTGCAGCATCCATAGCTTCTGCAGCTTCTGGTAATTTATTTTCTTTCTTTAGTAAACGAGCTTTAACCATTAAATTCTCAATAGTTGGTGTTTCAATTTTAATTGAATCAAATACAACACGTGCCTGAGCAATATCTGACTTAACAATTAATCGTTGTACATTAGTTAAATTGAGGAATTGAAGATCTTCATTATCAGTTAATTCGTTCTTTAAAGTATCAAGAATATTAACATAAATATCATATTTTTTCTCACTTTCAAAAGAAAGTTCTTTCATAAAGAGACAATGAAGGAGTTTATCAACAGTAATAATATGTTTTTGTATTAATTTAATTAAACAATTCTTAAATGGTAAAATAAATTCATCATTTGCTGGAAGAGCTCTTAGAATTATAACAGCAGCAGTATCTTCATCACGATGACTGTATTGTTTACATATTGATACGAATTCGTCCTTTTTATTTCCAAGATTATTTATATCTACACCTAAACAATGAGCAATACCATAATAATATTCAACTTTATCACTGTTAATTGAAAGAAGTTTCTTATATAATTCTAATGCCTTATCATTTTCTTTTAAAAGAAGATAAAGTTCAGCAGTACGTTCAAGAGTAACAACTTTATCAATAAGAATATGTTCATTTTCAGTTATAAGTTTAAGAGCATTTTTATAATCTCCTTTTTGTTTGTAAAGAGAAATAATGTATGAAAGACTATCTGATTTATCATTAGGAGACGTTTTCTTATTAATGAATTTCTTTTGATACAATTCCATTGTTTCAATAGCTACTTCAGTTTGACCATTCAAATCTGCAGCAACAGCCCTACCAAGAAGATTACTTTCAATGTCACTTTGTGCAGAAAACAAAAGTGAACGAGTTTCAAATGCTCCTTTATAATCTCCATTTTGTACTTGAAGACAATATAACTCTCTTTGAATTCCAAAATTAGTTCTATCAAGAGAAACAAGTCTTTTAAAAGCTTTAGCAGCTTCTTCATAATGTTTTTCAGTTCTTAAAATAATACCATATAAGTGCCAGCAAGTATTACTTCCAAAATTATAAATAAGTCCTTTTTTAAGACGTCCAAGAATATCTTCAACATTAACTTTTTTAGGACCTTTAGAATATTGACAAGCAGCAAGAAGGGAAAATGCTTCTCCATTACTTGGGAAATGAGCTAAAATTTTATCACAATTTTCAATTGCTTTATCAAAATGTCTATTTCCATAATGTTTAATTGCAGCTTTTAATAAATCTTCTAATTGTCGAGGAAGAATTTGTTGGTCTTTAACAGGAATATTACAAACAACTGGTGTAGTGGGTTGTTGAACTTGTTTATTTTGTTTCTTTCCTCTGCGAGACATAAGAATTAGTTATCATTTTAAAAAGATTTTTCTTCAAACCCTAAACACGGCCTATTTGTGAAACGCTTCTTTGGAGTTACGTGTAACCAACTAATCGTTTTCCAGTTAAAAGAAATATTAAATTATTTGTAATTCTTCTAAAAGAAATAAAATATTCTTTATAATGTTCAATTCACTTTTTAAAGTAAGTATATTTTAATTATCCTCTTCTTTTTCCTCACGTAAATAAATTCTTGTATCTTCTCCTTCTGGTATTATTGACATACATGAAACTCCTATTGGATCTTCCCATTCTTCACTTTCATCAATTGAGTCAAACTCTTGTTTTGTTTCTTTTAAATGTTTTAAATATGCCTCAGCAAGACTTTTATTAATATGGTCTGTAGCAGTAATTTCTCTAACAAAAGTGCTTTCATCAACAACACGAGGTATTGGATAGTCCTCCATAACAAATAAAAAGATCTAAAAAACATAGAGAAAAAGAATAAATTCTATTTCATTGCTTCAAACATGGAATATAATATTTTCCATTCTTGCAAACTAATCCATGGACTTCAAATTCATATCCTGGCCATTTTTCTCCAAAATGAGCAAGAGCAACCATTAAGTCAGTATGAATTTTATCAAAAACTTCTCCTGGCATAACTGTAGGAATTCCTGGTGGGTAATTAACAACTAACAATGCACTTGTTCTTCCTGTTAATTGTTCAACAGGAACCCATTCTACATTATTATCAACTAAAGCACATGAAGCTTTAAATGGAATACAAGCAACTTCAGGAAGTTTTCCTGAATAAACCTCATTCTCCATTTCTTGCATTCTCTTAATTTCAGGGTTCATCATTTCACAAAAATCTTTCAATCCAACATTACCAAACTCTAAATTCTTTTCTTGAGTAAACACATATTTTAATTGAGTGTTGCTATCATATAACTTCTTAAATTGAGTTAATGCAGTAACAAGAGTAGCAGACTTTCCTCTTCTTGATCCAATAGAGAATAATGAAAGCATAGTATAATATCCCATCTTTTCCATAATAATTCCATTCATTGCAAGGAATTTAACAACAACACATGCAGGAATTTCAACACCAGCCTCTTCATCTACTGTTAATAAGTTAACTTTAAGTGGATCAAGAAGGTATTGATTTTTTCCAATATTAGGAAATCCGTGCCATGCATCAGGTCCACTTGGTGGAAGAACCCAATAAGAAGTGTCATAGATATTTTTCTTTCCTGATAAAATGTCTTTTGGTTGCCAACATCCAAAGAACCATCCTTCTTCACTTTCTTTAAACTCAACTTTTACACGTGCCATAGCACATCTAAATGAAATAACTTCTTTTAATACATCGTCAAGAATTGATTCTCCTGAGACATCCATAATAGCACTTGACATATCTAATGATGCAATCAAACTATATTGTGGAGATGTAGTTGTATTTGCTTGGAAATAAGTATTGAAACGATCAAAGTGGAATGGATCTGGTGAATTTCTTACATGAACCATACTTCCTTGTGACAAAGCAGCTAACACTTTATGAGTTGATTGTGTAGCAAAAATTGTTCCTTTATAAGCAGATGGAGTTGGTCCACGATGAATTTCTTCATCTTCACTATCTTCTTCAATATAAGCACTACCATGGAATAAAGAATCTTCTTCAAGTTTATCAAAATAAGATTTATTCATTGAATGATATGAAGCATAAAATGGATGGAAATGTGCATAAGGGAACCATGCTTCATCAAATAACATATTTTTTGTATCTAACTCTTGTAATTTAGAAAGAACCTTAGCAACATTATAACAAATACCATCGTAAGTGCATTGAGTTAGTACTAATAATTTAATATCATTTTGAATATCAGCTGAAGACATATATGGTAATTTTTGTGCTTTTTTATAAAGAGAGTCAACATTAAATTCAGAGAATGGAATTGGTCCAATAATACCATACTTGTTTCTTACAGGAGTTACATAAATTGGTTTATAATTACCTAACATGATAGCTTGCATAGAACTTTTATGTGAATTTCTATCAAGAACAATAACATCTCCAGCAACAGCAGTTCCTTGAAAGACCATTTTATTGGCTGTTGAAGTACCGTTCATAACAAAATATGTATACTCAGAACCAAACACTTTTGAGGCATATTTCTCTGCATCTCCAATTGGTCCAAAATGATTTAATAAACCACCTAATTCTCCAACAGCATTACACAAATCAGCAGCTAACATATTTTCTCCAAAGAAATCAAAGAAAAATTTTCCTGGTGGTGATCTAAGAAATGCAACACCACCCATGTGTCCTGGACAATGCCATGAATATTTCCCTTTGTGAACATATTTAACTAATGCTTTAAAGAATGGTGGAAGAATATCTTCTACATATTCATAACTTGAAGCAACAATTCTCTTTGCAACAAAATGTGGAGTTTCTTCATTCTTCCAGATATAAGCTTGAATAGATTCAAGTACTTGAATTGGAAGTCTTTCAACAACTAATTTCTCAGTATAAAGGAATATTAAAACTTTACGATTGATTGACTTAAAAGAACGGATAACATTAAGTGGTGATGGAACAACTTTAAGCTTTTCTTTTTCAAGGAAATTAAGAAGTTCATCATAACTTGGAACATTTTGCAATTGGTCAATTTTTTCCTGTGGATAAGAACGTGGCACAACAAGATTATATCCTTCAGCTTCTAATTTCATTAACGGAGATTTAGAACCACAAAATGGATCTCTTTGAGATGCAGGAAGTACAAGAACTTTATGGTCAAAAATTTGTGCATGTCTTGGCATAATATACTTTTTCATAGCATCTTTACATCTTACATAGTCTTGGTCCCAATCAACTAAAATAGCACTGATGTCAATAGTCTCTTTTAATTCAGCATAAGCATCATGCCAATTACTAACAAATACAGGAACTGATCCTAATCGAGTAATTTCATCACAAATAGTTTTCATAGTCCTAGAGAGGGCACTTCCTTCTTGAGCACCAGAGACTACAAGAATACGAGTAGGGAATGGTTCCATGATATCTCTTAATCTTTTTGTAGATTTTAAACCTTTTTTATGTTTCTTTTATTTCAACAAATATTTTTTATTTTTGTTTCAATTTTATTTTTTTTTGTTATTTAAAAATATAATAATTAATTTTTATATAATAATTTTTTTCACTTTCTTAAATAAAAAATAATTCAAAAAAATCTTATTATACTTTGAACATGTTTGACTAAACATCTTTTCTATTTAGTTAATTTGCTCTTCTTGAACTTTATTTTTCCTTTTTGTTATTTTTGTAGGATTTGTTATTTTTTACTTTTTTATTTATTTGTTTTGAGTTGAAAAATGCCTTTGTTTTTACAATGCCATTCACTTTGCCGATTACTACTATTTCTTCTTCTCATTCTATTACTTTTGTTTTTCTTTTATGGTAAAATACCATCTTCTTATTAGTGTTGATTGTGTATATTATTTATATCTTTTATTCTTGATTTATTTTATTTTGTTTGTATGTATTTTAACTTTTCTTTTAGTGTTTAGAGAAATAGTTTTATATTTCAATTATTTCATTTCTTTTGTTTCTTGAATGTCTTGTTCTTCTTAGTTTATTTTGATATTGGTTATATCATCTTTGTTTCATTATGAAATTCATTTCTATTACGACAATCTGTATTATTTCTATTTCAAATGATAAGTAACTATAATGAAACTGTTTGATTTGATAAATGAATATATCTTAATCATATCATCATAATGATTTTGAAGGTAATAATTATTATATTTCTGGATATACAAATAGAATATACTTCCAATCACTATTTTGTTATTTAATTTTCTTGGTTAGTATGGGTTGTGTCTTTTTTTGTTGTGAACATTTTATACTTTCTATGATGTCTCTCGTAATGATTCATAATTTTTAATTCGTTAAAAAGAAAAAAATAAAAACTTCAAAAGAAAAAGCACAAAAAAAGGAGAACTACAAAATTAGTAAGTGAGAGAGATGGAAATAGAGAAACAAAGTGAGGAAAGTGCATTGGTCAAATATTATAAGCATAAGATAGATCAAATGACATACGAGTATTCGAGTGAGTTACAAAATCAACGAAGATTAATTTCTAAAAGAAATCAATTAAATGACCAAGTAAGAAGAATGAAAGAAGAACTTCAATTACTTTCGGAACCATCATGTTCAGTTGGAGAAGTTATCAAAGCAGTAGGAAAAGATAAGGTATTAGTTAAATCAGCACAAGAAGGCAAATATGTTGTCAAAGTAGAAGCAGGAATTGATATAAAATCATTGAAACCAAATCAACGAGTGGCACTAAAAAGTGATACATACAGTATTTGTAAAGTTCTTCCTAATCAAGTTGATCCATTAGTATCATTAATGAGAGTAGAAAAAGTACCAGATTCAACATATGACATGATTGGAGGATTAGATCAACAAATTAAAGAGATTAAAGAAGTAATTGAGTTACCAATCAAACATCCAGAATTATTTGAATCACTTGGAATTGCACAACCAAAAGGTGTATTATTGTATGGACCACCAGGAACAGGAAAAACATTATTAGCAAGAGCAGTAGCACACCATACAGATTGTACATTTATTCGAGTTTCAGGAACTGAGTTAGTACAAAAATATATTGGAGAAGGAAGTAGAATGGTTCGAGAACTATTTGTAATGGCAAGAGAACATGCACCATCTATTATTTTCATGGATGAGATAGACTCTATTGGATCGAGTCGAATTGAAGGAAAGTCAGGAGGAGATAGTGAAGTACAACGAACTATGCTAGAATTAGTTAATCAATTAGATGGGTTTGAACCAACAAAAAATATAAAAGTATTAATGGCAACAAATAGAATAGATATTTTAGATCCAGCATTATTAAGACCAGGACGAATTGATAGAAAAATCGAATTCCCTAATCCAAAAGAAGAAGCACGTTTAGACATTCTTAAGATTCATTCGAAGAAGATGAATTTAGTTCGTGGAATCGATCTCAAGAAAATTGCAGAACGATTGGATGGAGCATCTGGTGCAGAAATTAAAGCATGTTGCACAGAAGCAGGTATGTTTGCACTTCGGGAAAGAAGGTCTCATGTAACACAAGAAGATTTTGAATTAGCAGCTGCTAAAGTAATGAAGAAAGATAACAATGCATCTGTCTCATTACAACAATTATGGAAATAATTTTTTTCTCACTTTCTCGTTTTATTTTTGTTCAATCTAAAAGAAAATCATCTCATATGGATAATTCCATTATTATTTGTTTAATCCCTCCATTTCCTTATTTATCGTATGTTAACACCACACAAACAATCAACACTAGCCAATAATTTTAACCAAAAGAAAAATAACAAAAACTATCAGAATACTTAAACACAAAAAATATAGAATAAACGAAAAGAATAAACACTTTTAATTATAAACACTCTATAATATCCAATAAATACTAGAAAATAGGAAGTGAAGTTGTAGTTATAGAGCAAGTATACTTCCTGAAAGATAAATTATCTAAATTACAAAATAAATTACACAGGAAGAAAAGAAGAAAGAAGAGATAAATCACATTATATCAGACTCACTGAAACACAAATTGTGAATGACATCACCCCCAGTGTTATAGTAGCTGATGGGATATCATCAAATAAAGATGATCTTCTAAAAAAAGAAAGTTAATACAGAATTCAATCGAAGAGATGTGAAATCAGCATAAGAATATCACCACATCTGATCATGATAATCAAAAAATGGTTGAAGCAATGAGACAGAGAAGAATAAATTCTAACAAACTATAAATGTTTTGCACTAAAATTATTAGAAATAAAATTAAGAAGTCAACTTAAAGAAGAAGAAATAAAAAGATTAATACATGAAATTGATATTAAAATAGAAGATATTAATGAATATAAAGAAATATTAAAGAAAACATTTAAAATAAAGAATGAAATTAAAATTGAAATCAATAGAAGAATTGAAGAAGAATTAATAACACACCAATGGAAAGATATTGAATTAAAAGAATTAATAAAATAAATAAGAAAGAAGAAATACAAGAAATAATAAGAATAAATAAAGAAGAAGATATGAAAGAACAAGAAGATGTATAATTTATTAATTATTACAATAAAAACAAAATACATCAAATAATTAATATCATTAATACAAATGAAATATTACTCAATCCATAGATGATTACTACCATTATATTAAAACTATAACCTCCACTATTAACATCATTATTAATAACAATCAAGAAAGAAATTGAATGAGAAATATAGAAAGAATATTACAATCAAAAATATGTAGATTAAGAGACTTGCTCTATAATAATCAATATATGAAAATAAAAAGAATATTACATATTAAAAAATATGATATATATCATATTAAAATAAAAACAAAGGAGCAAATAAATTATTACAAATACCTCCAAAGAATGAAAAGAATAGAAATAAAAGTAAGAAAAAATAATTGGAAAAGAATAAGAATGAATTATAAAATGATAAAATATTGAAAGAGATAACTTCTAAATAAGAACAAGAAGATGAATATCAAGATAATATTACTACAATTAATTTCTTGAAAGGAATCTATGAAAATAACACTAATATAGATTTCATAAATATTAATTTATATGATATATTAATTGAAAATATAATTAATAATAGAATGTGTGTAATTACTTTAGATGAATTAAATCATGCAATAAAATTCATTGCTAATTGGAAATCACATGGAATTGATAAAATACAATCATCTGGATTAAATATTTAGAACAACCAAAGAATTTCTTATTAAAATTATTTAATGAAATATTGTATAATCATAATGATACCTATATTCAATTTATCAAATGAAGAACAATATTAATATACAAGAAATTGAATAAATTATATAAACAAAATTACAGACCAATAACTTGTTTAAATTGTATGTTAAAAGTATATACATCTTTATCAAAGAAGAAAATAGAAATCAATTGATGTTAAATCAAATTGAAAAACAATTATCATAAAATCAAATTTGATGTAAAACATATACATATTATCAAAAGAAAGATTAATATACAATATTATAATCAAGAAGTTATTATTTAAGGATAAATGGAAGTAGAGAGAAACATAATATGATGTCTCTAAAGCATATGATAGTATTAATCATCAATGGGTTAAACATTGTTTAATTTATTTTAACATCCCATTAGTTGTAATTAAAAGTATATTATATATATTAAATAATACACAACTCCAATTATATTATAATCAACAAAATGTAGGTATAATTAATGTAGAAAGATGAATAATACAATATGATAGTTTATCTCCATTATTATTTGTATTATTTATTGTTATATTATCTAAATAATTAGATAAACAAATTGATATTTTATCTATTAAAATGAATGGAGAAGAAAAACAAGTATAGTTAAACCACATATTATATATGGACGATTTAAAGATAATAACTAACAGCCTCGAAGAAATTGAAAAATCACACAAATTAACAAAAGAAATATTTAACTCTTAAAAATAACTTAAATTTATACTTCTATTTTTCTATAATTGAAATTATTTATTAAAATGAACAATAACACTTTTATCTAATTTTCTATTACATAATAACTAGTGTATATTTAAATAAATAAAGAAGTAGTTGGACACACAAAAAGGACTAAATAAAAGTCCCAAATTTAATAAAAATTTCTTTTAAATTACCAAATTGAAATCCTTTTATTACTTAAAAGACATAACAATAAAATTTAACATATCTTATATCAAAGATGATTTAACTGTTACCTTTGAAACTATATTTATACATGTAATCAGAACATAATGGTATAAATGTTGTAAATACATATTTTAATTACTTTTAAAACAAGACGGTTATTTGTTGAAAGCTATTAGCTTAAAAACAAACACAATAAATACCAAAAAATAACGTAATATTTTAACTAGATACTGTCAGTGAGAAATTTCAAAACACACATTGTACTAGCTACTCGTTAAACAAACAGTAAGTAAAGTACAGGAAGTTGTCTGACGATTTAAAATAGGTTATGTCGTGATAAGCAAAAAATGAATTATTTACTTTCTATCATTCTAATAAAAGAATTCATTATTCTTATTTATTCAAATCTTCTTTAACAAAAATTTATTAGTCATTTAAAACATAAATATAAAAAAAAACTAATCAATAGCATCGGTTATTAACTCAATTAGTTTAACGCACATATTACTTAGTGTTGTTCGTGATGTCCAAGATGAGCGTGAGCAGCTTTAATGGCTTCAAGGGCTCGTTGGATTTCATCTCTCTTAGCAAGTCCTCTTTTATGTGTTCCAAGATGTTTTTTAGCATATTTGAGTGCTTTCTTATCAAGTCCTCTTCTAAGAAGATCCATCATGTGTCTTTCATATGCTGAAAATCCACATGCTTCTCTAATAACGTCATTAACAACGTGTTTTCTTTTTGTGACACCATAATGTCTTTTGGCAGTTTTCATAGTATGAACTGGGTATCCTCTTTTAAGTCCAACGGCAATTCCTCTAGCCATTTTAACCGATTGTCGTGTTAAGATCAATTTTTAAGTTTCTAATAGGGTTCATCTTTTTTACTATTTCTTTTAACTTTTTTACTATTTTTTATTCTTTTTTATTTTTGTTTTTTGATTCCTTCAATTTTTTGATATTCTTTATTTTTTTTTTGGATATATAACGAAAATAAAAACAAAAACAAAATGAACTTGAAAATTTAAAAACAACAATAATGGAAGATAAGGACCGTTGTGCTAAATTTATGAGAAATGACCTTGGAAAAGTACTTAGTTATGATGAAATGATTTGTACTAGAATTCAGGAGAATGACAAGAAATTAAAAGACCTTGTTTATTCTAATTATTCTAAGTTTATTCAAGTCACTGAAACAATCACGAAAATTAGACATAGTGCTGAATCTTTTGATAATGATTTAACTTCTATATCAAAGTCTTTGTCTGAATTAACTTCTCGTTATAAAAATATTCATTCAAATTTATCTCCACTTAGAGAAGAGCTTATTAGTTTACATGAAAAACAACAACAAATTGAACAACAACAAGAGTTTTTAGATCTTCCTGATATCTTACGTCAAACTGCATCAGAATCTAAATGGATTGAATTTGCTAATGCTTATACATCTAGAATTGATGGGTTAAAAAAGAATGCTCATATCAAAGCATTTGCATCTATTTTAGCAGAAGTTGAAGGTGCAGTAGCAAGAGCAGAAAAAGTATTAAACAACGCTATTTCTAAAGAATATGATACTCCTCAAAAACTTGGACAATGTTATGGGGCATTAGCCCGTCTTCATACCAGTGAAGTAGCAGTTATGGAAATTAATTGTATTGCTAAAATGCAAAAATATTGTGAGGTGATTGTTGATAATTCTTTTACAAAAAAAGAAAGTAATATTGTTAGCTTCTCGTCTTTTATTTCAACTGCAGCAACAGCTTTTGTTAATGCAGTTCAATCATGTTGTGAGGCATATATTATAGCATTCAAAGAACCATTTAATCTTGATAGCAAATCTTTTGATAATTTTGTTGGACTTTCCATCAGTAATTTCTATTCAAATGCTAATAATATTGTTTCACAAGCATCATCATTAGATAAACCAGAATTAAAAGTGGTCGAAGCATTAAGAGGAATAAGCGATGCTACTGGTAAGATTAAAAATTTAAATCAATACGGAGATTATAATAAATATATTGAAAATACTGTTGAAAATGCTGCTCGATTTGGCATTAAAGAACTTTGTAAAAAGGTTGGATTAAAAGCAGGGAGTGTATTTGATACAATTAGTGTTGATATTGATCTTTGTGTTTCACGAGGATTTGTTGGATTTAATGGACTGGCAGAGAAAAAACAAAATCAAATTGATGATACTCAAAAAGAATTAAAAAATAGAATTGATTCAATTAAACAAATTGGTGGTGTTTATGAAACAACTATTATGAATTCATTGAAAGAATATGGAAGTGATATTCTTACTGTATTTCTTCAAAAAGCAGAATCTGTTTGTGAAAATAAACCATTTGTATGTGTTGCTATTGCAGGATGGATATTTTCTGCAAAAATACCAGAAACTATTGCAATCGGACTAAAAACTGACTCATTATCACAACAATATACTGACCAATATGAACAGTTTCCAGAAAAACTAATTAAAAAGTTTACTGACCTTATTTCTGACC